CCATTTTTTAATTGGATTGTTTGTCTTTTTGTTATTGAGGTGTTGGAGTGTTCTATAAATTCTAGAGATAAGTCCCTTGTCAGATATGTTATTGAATTTAGGTATTTTTAAATGTCTTTATATTGCTCTAATCAAGTAAATAGGCGTGTAAACAATTTAATTTTAGTTATTATTTTCTGTTGAACTTTAACAGGTATTACAGGAATAACTGAAGCAGTTAAGGAAATTGCACTGGAAAGCAAGGTACTGGTAATTAATTATATTTCTAACTTTAATGACTCATATTTTTAAGATCACTCATATTTTTTTTTACCCACACTCTGGTTATTATTAAGTTCTTTCTAAGTTCCATTTATTTCTCTCCCCTCCCCAATTTTTCCACATGAACATACCAAAACATTACTATTTCCTGTTGCTTCCTTTATTTTCCTTAATCTGTCATATGGTAAAGAAAAATATTTTCTTAGATTCTAACTGGTATAAACTATAATTTTTCACTAATTAAGAAATCTTAAAACATGAATGCTAAGCTAACTTAGAAGAAATTGTCTTAGTTATCTAGAGCTCCAAACACCAAACCAAACTCACTGCTGTTGAGTCAATTCTGACTCATAGCGACCCCTCCTTGGTTTTCCAAGGCGATATCTTTATGGAAGTAGATTGTCCAGTCTTCCTTCTGAGGAGTGGCTGGTGGGTTTGAACTGCCAGCCTTCTGGTTAGCAGTCAAATGCCTTAAGCACTGTGCTATCTATCTAGTACTATATAGTACTAGATAGATAGTACTATCTAGTACTACTGTAATAGAAATACCTTTAGTGGGTGGCTTTAGCAAACAGAAATTTATTTTCTTGAAATTTAGGAGGCTAGAAGTCCAAATTCAGAGTGGGGGCTCTAGGGGAAGGTTTTCTCTCTCTCTTGACTCTGGGGAATGTCCTTGGCAATCTTGTGACATGTATCTTAAGATCCCTTCTATTTGTGTTACTAATTTTGCACTTTTATATCTCAAGAGATTGACTTAAAATACAAGTTATACTGATATGGAAGCTAATAAAGTGGTTCAGTGTTTAAAGTACTTGGCTGCTAACCAGAAGGTCAGTGATTTGAACCCACCAGCTGCTCCATAAGAGAAAGATGAGACGGTCTGCTTCCATAAAGATTTATAGCCTTGGAAACCCTATGGGGCAGTTTTACTGTGCCCTATAAGGTTGCTAGGGAGCTCTGGTGGCATAGTGCCTAAGGCATTTGACTGTTAACCAGAAGGCTGGCAGTTCAAACCCACCAGCTGCTCCTCGGAAGGAAGATTGGGCAATCTACTCACGTAAAGATTTACAGCCTTGGAAAGCCCAAGGGGGGTCACTGTGAGTCGGAATTGACTCGATGGCAGCGAGTTGGGTTTGGTTTATAGGGTTGCTATGAGTTGGAATTAACTTGATGGCAGTAGATTTGGTTTGGTTTCACACTAATATAGCCTCATAAGCCTAACAAATAAGATCCCTTCCCAAATGAGATTATAACCACAGACATAGAGACTAGGATTTACAACACGTATTTTTTGGGAAAACAATCCATAACACTTTATTTGTATCTACTAGCTAAAATTGGTAATTTAATCATTCTTTCCGTATTTTCTTAAAGTTTGTTTTGGTTATTTTTGAAAATTTAAATATAAACTTGAGTTTAATTTCATCCAGGATCATGATATTTTAAATGAGTAGAAACTACATCAGTTAAATTTTATTGTATATTTTATTTGGAGCTAGGGTAAAATATATAATTGGTGAGATTTTCTGCTTAGAAGTTTTCTGTTAATTCAGGCTGTATGCATTCTGTTAGCTTTTCAATTCTAAAGAGAGAACAATTGCAGTTTTCCTTATAGTTTCAGTTGTTTGAAATGATTTGACAAAGTAATACAAAATGCCTTCACCTTTATCTTTTATAAAATTGTTTTGTTAACAGTTAGGTCTCATGATGTTGTTACGTGCCGTCGAGTGGTCTCCGACTCATAGTGACCCCTCCTTGGGTTTCCCAGGTGGTATCTCTATGGAAGTAGATTACCCAACCTGCCTACCAAGGAGTGGCTGGTGGGTTTGAAACGCCAGCCTTCTGGTTAGCAGTCAAGTGCCTTAGGCACTATGCCACCAGAGCTCCCTAGAGGGTAAAATATTTAGATAAAATAATTATATTTCTATTTTCCTTATGAAACATTCACTACAACAGTTACTAGTTTAAGATATTCTTTATATATTTTTGTCACTTGAATCTTTTAGGATTGTTAATTGGAGCTTAATAAAGTGTTAGAAACTGAAACAAATTTCATTATTTTTATTGTAGAATTTTGTTTCTTAAGGGTTAAGATTCACTTCAGTGGTCTGAGAATTCATCCTTTTGAAATTCCACTTTTTGGAGAGTCTGAATGACTAAGGAGAAATCACACAAATGACTTTACTGCTTCAGGAGTTCTTCTTGTTAACTCTGTCCATTATCTTTATTTTATGACTGATTTCTATAAGCCTCTCTCTCATTTAATCTATCTTACATTTATTTGTGTGATAATAGTAAGGCCATTTAGTTCTGTATTTGCTTTTAGATTTTAGCACAGTAGTGTGGATGACTTTTTTTCTTTTTTTTTTTTTTTGGACAGATATGTGACAATTCTCTCAAGTATATATGGTAATGGTTAATTGGTACTTTGTATTCCACTTAATAGGCTCAGTTCCTGCTGTAGGGTTATGACTTCATCAGAATAATTTACAGCTAGAATATATCTTTTCTGTCACTTCCTATTTAGTACAAAACTAAACCAAACTCACTGCCATTGAGTCTATTCCAATTCATAGTGACCCCTATTGGGTTTCTGAGGCTGTAAATGTTTATAGAAGTAGATCGCCCCATCTTCCTTCGTGGAGCAGCTGGTGGGTTTGAATTGCTGACCTTCTCGTTAACAGCCAAATTCTTTATCCACTATACCAGCAGAGCTCCAGAATTTGTATTATATATTGTAACTTAGTGCTTAGAATGCCTGCAATCTAGATCCGAGTATTCATTTTTGTGTTGATGTCTACTGCAGTCTACTGTATCAAGTATGAATATCACAAGCATGATTAAAATTTCTGTTAATGGTCAGTTTGTCAGATACTGCCTCATCTGGTAGTAGACTAGATACTGAAAGTCTTTCCTCTACAGTTTCACATTTTGGACATGATAATGATGTTTAGGATTGTAGTGGTAAATAGAATCATCTCTAAGTAAAACTGTAAATTAGGTGAAAGTAGATGCCCAACTCACTGGCTCACTATATTGGATACTAATTTTCTGAAAATCGTTAAGTGTATGTTAGACCCGTCATTGATTACTATTATTTTTTCATTGTACAGGTAATATTTTTAAGAAATTGAGCTGGAATTCTATGTGTTGGTGATAATGTTGTTGTTTTCTCATTGATTCCAACTCGTAAGGGCTCTATGTGACAGAGTAGAACTTCCCACAGGGTTTCCTAAGCTATAATCTTTATGGGAGCAGATCACCAGGTCTTTCCTCCCGTAGAGCGGCTGATGGATTTGAACCTCTGACCTTTTTGTTAGCAGCCAAGTGCTTAACCATTGTTGTACTGGGGCTTCTTGTAATGCCTGATAACTCTAGCTGAATTCAGCCAGGTTATTGTTAACAAATTAGAGGATAAGAAGGTTTGATTTATATATTATAACAATACATTTATTTTAACTTTTAAATATACTTGTTGTTGTTTGCCGTCGAGTCGGCCCCGACTCATAGCGACCCCTCCTTGGGCTTCCGAGGCAGTATCACTACGGAAGTAGAATTGCCCAACCTTCCTTCCGAGGAGTGGCTGGTGGGTTTGAACCACCTGCCTTCTGGTTAGCAGTCAAATGCCTTAGCCACTATGCTACCAGAGCTCCCTTAAATATACTATGACTTACAAATATATTCTGCTTAGCAGTCAAATGTCTTAGGCACTAAGCCACCAGAGAGCCTACACATAAACCTTTTCTCTCCTTTAAATTATAAGTAGGCAAATTAACATCACTTTGAACTGAATTTCTAAAACTAATACATTGGTTAAATAAATTTTTTTTTTTTTTTTTAATTGGGAATTGGCAAGTATTTTTAAATCATTAGCTTAGGGTTATTCTTAGTGCCCTATACGTTTTATGTTTCTCAGACACATAATTTAGCACATTGTTTTTAATGGTTGGTTTATGATCCTGTCATGCCTACTAGATTATATACTTGTTGAGGGTAAGAAATGTCTTATCACTCTTATTTTCACAGTTGTTAGCAATTTCCTGGCACCTAGGGGCTCAGTATTTGAACTAATTAACATATTTAAATGACTTTAAATATAATTAATTTCAAAGGACAGTTTAAAGCGCCAAGATTGTTCAGCATTATGTGAAGAAGAAGAAGAGGAAGATGAAGGAGAAGCTGCAGATATGGAAGGTATTTGTCTTCTAGATTTGCCTTGATCACACTGAATTATTTATTTGGGTAGGATTTCTAATTGATATGGATGAAAAATTCTACCCCAAAGAGTTCTAAATATTAACATATACAGCAACCTATAGAAGATTTTGTTTAATTTAATCAGTACAAAATCTGTCTTGATCTTGAACTCTTTCTACTTTACCTGGAGCATAGTCTTGACAGCATTTTTTCTACTAGGAAAAATATTAGTCATAAATCTCTAATGCTGGATAAAGCAGCAAGATAAAGATTTTCAGGCTCCTTCTTTAACTATTTCAGACTATAACAAAGTTTGCTCATGTGTTTTTGTATTTTTCCCCCCCTCCTTTTTGGTATCACCTTTCTACTCAAACCCCAAGATACGATTCTTAATGGAGTCTTTTGAAACTACAGAGTCCTTTCATTTTTCCCTGTGATTCTGAAATGCTCTACTAGGGTGACCAGTGGAAAACTACTGCATTAGACCATTGTTACAAAAGGTTGAAATCCACTACGCTAAGGGGGCAGTCATACAGGTCTATGAATATTGACTATCCATAGTTATATTTATAGACTATTTATAGAAACTATTAATAGTTTCCTATTTTATTAATAAGATAATCTTTAATACATATGAAACCTCAGATATTTAAAAATAGGTAAAGATATTACTGTCACTAAGGTTACCTCTCTGATAAGTCAGTCTGTTTTTATCGTATTCATCTTCTCTGCATCTGGTTCTACTAATCATTTCTCCTCCTTTTTTCCTTCCTTAATTTCTGTGCCCTGAATTTTTCTCCTCCTTCCTGGACTGTTTCTACTCAGTCTTCTAGGGCTTTGTTCCTACTTTCTAGCTACTGTGTAATGGAATTTGACATTATTTTTCCCTTACTTTACACTTCCAGATTTTATTTACTCTCGTGGGTTATATACAGGTATGCTGTGATCAGGCGTTGAAATATGCACAACAGGAAAAATGGTGGATAAATATCACAATGGTGGATAAATTACATGATAGAGAGAGGGTTAACAGTTGGAGTAAGGAAGAAAATATGAAAAAGATAATGCAGGCATTGGAGTATATAAAGTGGTTGAATCCCAAAACTATATACAACTGAGGGTGAGATGCAGATGTTTTGTAGCACATGCCAATTAGTGTGAATAGAGTTAATGTACCATCTTGGCAAGTGGTGGACAAATGGGTGCTAATGAGGGGTTGATAGCATAGCCTAATTGCTAGAGTAGCCTGACTCAAACTATCTTTTGCTTCCGTTTTCCAAATTACTTTTAAATCACCATGGAACCTTGCTGTATGGTGTTGTTAGGGGCCATCGAGTCAACTCTGACCCATAGCGATCCAGTGTACAACAGAACAAAACCCTACCCGATCCTGTGCCATCCTGAGTCTTTGTTATGCTTGAGCCCATCATTGCAGCCACTCCATCAGTCCATCTTGTTGAGCGTCTTCCCCTTCTTTGCTGACCCTCTACTTTACCAAGCATGATATCCTTCTCCAGGGAATGGTCTCTTCTAACAACATGACCAAAATAGGTGAGACGAAATCTGGCCATTCTCACTTCTGAGGAGCATCCTTCCTTCTGGCTGCACTTCTTCCAGGACATATTTGTGCATTCTTCTGCCTATTGTTGTTGTTATGTGCCATCAAGTTGCCTTCAACTCATAGTGACCTTATGTACAATAGAATGAAACACTGCCTGGTCCTGTGGCAGCCCCATGATCCCTACTATACCTAAGCCCATCACCGCAGCCACTGTGTCAGTCCATCTTGTTGAGGGCCTTCCCCATTTTTGTTGACACTCCACTTTACCAAGCATGACATCCTTCTCCAGAGAATGATCCATTCTGACAACATGACCAAAATGGGCGTGATGAAGTCTGGCCATTCTCACTTCCAAGCAACATTTTGGCTGTGCTTCTTCCAGGACATATTTGTTAGTTCATTTAGTAGTCCATGGTACTTTCCTCACCAACAGCACAACTCAAAAGGTAATGGAAACAACTCAAAAACATCAACTCTTCTTCAGTCTTCCTTATTCATTGTCCAGCTCTCACATGCATATGAGGCGATTGAAAATACCATGGCTTGGGTTAAGGGCATTTTAGTCTTCAAGAAGATATCTTTGCTCTTCAACACTTGAAAGTGGTCTTGCAGCAGATTTGCCCAATGCAATACATGTTTTGATGTCTTAACTGCTGCTTCCATTAACGTTGATTGTAGAATCAAGTAATATGAAGTCTGACAACTTCAGTCTTTTCTCCATTAATTGTGATGCTGCTTATTGGCACAGTTGTGAGGATTTTTGTTTTCTTTATATTTTGGTGTAATCCATACTGCAGATTGTAGTCTTTAATTTTCATCAGTAAGTACTTCATGTCATCCTCACTTTCAGCAAGCAAAGTTGTGTCATCTGCATATCTCAGGTTGTTAATGAGCCTTTGTCCAATCCTGATGCCCCGTGCTTCTTCATATAGTCCAGATTCTTGGATTATTTGCTCAGCATACTGGTGGAAGGATACAACAATCCTGATGCACTCCCTTCCTGATTTTAAACTGTCTAATTTTAAACTGTGCAGTATCCCCTTGCTTTCTTTGAACGTCAGCCTCCTGATCTATGTACAGGTTCCTCATGAGTACAATTAAGTGTTCTGAAATACCCATTCTGCTCAATGTTATCCACATTTTGTTATGATCCAAATAATTGAATGCCTTTGCATAGTCAGTACAACCCAAGTAAACATCTTTCTGGTATTCTTTGCTTTCAGCTAAGATCCATCTGACATTAGCAATGATATCCCTTGTTCCACATCCCCTTCTGAATCCAGCTTGCATTTCTGGAAGTTCTCTGTCAATATACTCCTGTAACCATTCTTGAATTATCTTCAATAAGATTTTATTTGCATGTGATATCAGTGATATTGTTTGATAATTTCCACATTTTGTGGGATCACCTTTCTTTGGAATAGGTACAGATATGGATCTCTTCCAGTCAGTTGGCCAGATAGCTGTCTTCCAGATCTTTTGGCATGGCTGAGTGAGTGCCTTCAGTGCAACATCCATTTGTTGAAACATTTCAGTGGGTATTCTGTCAATTCCTGGAGCCTTGTTTTTCGCCAATTCCTTGAGTCCAGCTTCAACTCTTCCTTTGATACCATTGGTTCTTTGGTCATATGCCACCTCCTGAAATAAATGAACATTGACCAATTTATTTTGGTACAGTGATACTGTGTATTCTTTCCATCTTCTTTTGATATTTCCTGCATCATTCAACATATTGCCCATGGAATCTTTCAGTATTGATTTGAGGCTTCAATTTTTTCTTCAGTTCTTTAAGCTTGAGAAATGCCAAATGTTTTCTTCCCTTTTGGTTTTTTAACCAACTTCTGGCAGTCCATGGTATATTATATATGGTATTCTTAGCCAACACCACAATTCAAAAGCATCAACTCTTCTTCAGGCTTCCTTACCTACTCTCCGGCTTTTACATGCAAATGAGGCAATTAAAAATGCCCTGGCTTGGGTTAGGTGCACCTTACTCTTCAAGTGACATCTTTGCTTTTTAACTCTTTAAAGAGGGCTTTTGCAGCAGATTTGCGCAGCGCAATACAGTGTCTCATTTCCTGACAGCTGCTTCCATGGTCTTGACTGTGGATCTCAGTAAAATGAAATCTCTGACAATGTCAATCTGTTCTTCATTTACCATAATGTTGTTTATTGATCCAGTTGTGAAGATTTTCCTTTTCTTTATGTTGAGATATAATTTGATCTTCATCAGTAAGTGGTTCAAGTCATCTTCACTTTCAGCAAGCAAAGTTATGTCATCTGCATATTACAGGTTGTTAATGGTTCTTCCTCCAATCCTCATGCTACTTTCTTCTTCATGTAGTAGTTCTTCATCGTGTAGTTCAGCTTCTTGAAGTATGTTCTAAGCATACAGATTGAATAAGTACAGTGAATCGATACACCCTTCCTGATTTTAAACTATGCAGTATTCCCTTATTCTGTTCAAACAATAACCTCTTAGTCTACGTACAGGCTCTTCATAAGCACAATTAAGGGTTCTGGAATTCCCATTCTTTGCAGTGTTCTTCATGATTTGTTATGATCCACATTCGAAACCTTGCATAGTAAATAAAACACAAGTAAACGTCTTTCCAGTATTCTTTGCTTTCAGCTAAGATCCATTTGACATCAATAATAGCTTTCATTTCACATTCTCTTCTGAATCCAGCTTACACTTCTGCAAGTTCCCTGTCAATATACTGCTGCAACCATTTTTTAATTATCTTTAGCAAGATTTTACTTGTGTGTGATAGTAACGATACTGTTCAATGATTTCCATGTTCTGTTGGATCACCTTTGTTTGGAATGGGCGCAAATATGGAGCTACTTCTAAATTTTTTGGCATAAACGACTAAGTGCTTTCAGCACAGCATCCATTTGTTGCAACTTCTCGGTGGGTATTCTTTTAATTCCTGAAGCCTTGTTTTTTGCCAGTTCCTTCAGTGTAGCTTGGACTTCCTTCTTCAATACCATTGGTTCTTGATCATATGCTGCCTCCTGAAATAGTTGGATAGCGACCAATTCTTTTTGGTACAGTGACTGTGTATTCCTTCCATTTTTTGGTGCTTCCTGGATCATTCAGTATTTTGCCCATAGAATCCTTCAGTATTTCAACTCAAGGCTAGAATTTTTTGTTCAGTTCTTCCATCTTAGAAATGCCTACCGTATTCTCCCCTTTTGGTTTCCTAACTCTAAGTCTTTTCACATTTCATTATAATACTTTACTTTGTCTTCTCAGGCCCCACCCTTTGAAACCTTCAGTTTTTTTACTTCAGCATTTCTTCCATTTGTTTTAGCTACTCTTTGTTCAAGAACAAGTTTCAGAGTCTCTTCTAACATCCATTTTGGTCTTTTCTTCCTTTTCTGGCTTCTTAATGACCATTTGCTTTCTTCATGTATGTTCTTGATGTCATCTTACAACTCATATGGTCTTTGGTTATTGGTGTTCAGTGCATCAAATCTATTCTTCAGGTGATCTCTAAATTCAGGTTGGATATAATCAAGGTCTTATTTTGGCTCTTGTGGACTTATTTTAATTTTCTTTACCTTCAACTTGAACTTACATATGAGAAGTTAATTGTTCCATAGTCAGCTTCTGGCCTTTTTTTGGCTGAACATAGTGTGCTTCTCCATCTCCTCTTTCCACAGATGTAGTTGATCTGGTTTCTGTGTATTCTATCTGTGAGGTCCACATGTGTAGCCACCCTTTCTGTTGTTGAAAGAAAGTATTTATAATGAATAAGTTGTTGGTCTTGCAAAATTCTATCATGTGATCTTCAGCAGCATTTCTATCACCAAGGCCATATTTTCCAACTATTGATGATTCTTGTTTGTTTCCAGCTTTTGCATTCCAGTCACCAATAATTATCAATAATCTTGATTGCATGTTTGGTCAATTTCAGACTGCAGAAGTTGGTGAAAATCTTCACTTTCTTCATCTTTGGCTTTAGTAGTTTGTGTGTAAATAATAGTAGTATTGACTGGTCTTCTTTGTAGTATTATCCTATTACTGATAGCATTGTACTTCAGAATAGATCTTGAAATGTTCTTGTTGACAGTGAATGAAGTGGCATTTCTGTTCAATTTGTCATTCCCAGCATAGTAGACCATAAGATTGTCTGATTCAGAATGGCCAATACCAGTCCATTTCAGCTCGCTAATGCCTAGGATATTGATCTTTATGCATTCCATTTCATTTCCGACAACTTAAATTTTCCTAGATTCATACTTCGTACATTCCACATTCTGATTATCAATGGATAAATGAATGTTTGCTTCTGTTTCCTCTCATTTTTAATCATCCCCCATCAGAAAATGAAGGCCCTGAAAGCGTAATCCATCCACATCATTCAGGTCAACTCTACTTTGGGGAGACAGCTCTCTCCCAGTCACATCTTGAGGACCTTCCAACCTGAGGGGCTCATCTTCCAGCACTGTATCGGACAGTGTTTCAGGGCTATTCATAAAGTTTTCTGGTAATTTATCAGACAGAGTTTCACTGCTATTCATAAGGTTTACAGTGGCCAGTTTTTTTCAGAAGTGCATGGCGTTCTTCTTCCCTGTCTGTCTTTGTCTGGAAGCTCTGCTAAAATCTGTCCACCATGGGTGTCCCTGCTGGTATTTGAAATACCGGTAGCATAGCTTCTAGCCTCACAGCAACACACAACCACCACAGTATGACAAATTGACGGACAAGTTGTGGTGTGTCTAACTGTATATCTGTTCCTAAATTCTAGTAGTGCCTAAGACCTGATTGTTAACCAGAAGGCTGGCAGTTCAAATCCACCAACCACTCCTCGGAAGGAAGGTTGGGCATTCTACTTCTGTAGTTACACCACCTCAGAAACCCAAGGAGGGGTCGCTGTGAGTTGCGTCCGACTCAATGGCATATAACAACAACAACAACAAATTCTAATAAGATTTTTGTCTTTATTTCCATGGTAAACTATTCATGTGGAAATCTGAATGAGTTACTTGTCAGAAATGGAACTCAGCACCATCTTGCACAGAAATGGAACTCAGCGTCTTCTGTGATTGTCACGTAATTGTCCAAGCTGGGGTAGGGGGTTGGGGAGAAACCTATGAACAAAGCACTATTTTTAGACCTTATGGGACTACCACCTTAAGTATCTGACAGACATTTAGCATGTTTGTTATATTTCCCCTAGTTAGGGTTGTTGTTGTTGTTGTTGTTAAGTGCCATCGAGTCGTTTCCGACTCATAGCAACCCCATGCACAGCAGAACAAAACACTGCCCGATCCCGCGCCAGCCCCACAATCCATGCTATACTCGAGCCCATCATCGCAGCCACTGTATCAATCCATCTCCCTGAAGGCCTCCCCCTCTTTCGTCGACCCTCCACCCTACCAAGCATGACATCCTTCTCCAGGGAATGGTCCCTTCTTACAACATGACCAAAATAGGTGAGACGAAGTCTGGCCATTCTTGCTTCCAAGGAGCATTCTGGCTGCACTTCCTCCAGGACAGATCTGTTAGTTCTTTTAGCAGTCCATGGTACTTTCAGCATTCTCCGCCAGCACCACAACTCAAAAGCATCAACTCTTCTTCGGTCTTCCCTATTCATTGTCCAGCTCTCACATGCATACCAGGTGATTGGAAATATCATGGCTTGTGTCAGGCGCATCTTAGTCCTCAAGGAGATATCCTTGCTCCTCAGCACTTGAAACAGTTCCTTCGCAGTTGACTTCCCCAATGCTACATGTCGTCTAATGTCCTGACTGCTGCTTCTGTTGGCATCGATTGTAGAACCAAGCAACGTGAATTCCTTGACAACCTCAATCTTCTCTCCATTTATTGTGATGCTGTTTATTGGTCCAGTTGTGAGGATTTTTGTTTTCTTTATGTTGAGATGTAATCCATACTGCAGACGGTATTCTTCAACCTTCATCAGTAGGTGCCTTAAGTCATCCTCACTTTCAGCAAGCAAAGTTGTATCGTCTGTATATCTCAGGTTGTTAATGATTCTTCCTCCAATCCTGATACCACGTTTTTCTTCATATAGTCCAGCTTCTCGGATTATTTGCTCAGCATATAGATTGAATAAGTGTGGAGAAAGAATACAACCTTGACGCACTCCCTTCTTGACTTTAAACCATGTAGTGTCCCCTTGTTCTGTTCGAACGACAGCCTCCTGGTCAAGGTACAGATTCCTCATGAGTACAATCAAGTGCTCAGGGATTCCCATTCTTCTCAATGTTATCCATAATTTGTCATGATCCACACAATCAAATGCCTTTGCATAGTCAATAAAACACAAGTAAACATCTTTCTGGTATTCTTTGCCTTGAGCCAAGATCCATCTGACAACAGCTATGATATCCCTTGTTCCATGTCCTCTTCTGAATCCGGCTTGAACCTCTGGAAGTTCTCTGTCAATATACTGCTGCATACGTTTCCGAATTATCTTCAGTAATATCTTACTTGCATGTGATATTAATGATATTGTTCTATAATTTCTACATTCTGTGGGATCATCTTTCTTTGTTAAGGAAAGAATTTTTTACATGCAATTTTTCTTTAAAACTATTTTGATGTAAATCTAATGTAACAGGTAGTTCATTTCCATTGTTTATTCAACAAATATTTATTGATCAGTACAGTATCTGGTGGCATAGAGCCTAAGGCATTTGACTGCTAACCAGAAGGCTTGTGGTTCAAACCCATCAGCCACTCCACAGAAGAAAGGTTGGGCAGTCTGCTTCCGTAGTGAAACTGCCTCAGAAATCCAAGGAGGGGTTGCTGTGAGTCAGGTCCGACTTCACAGCAGTGGTTGCGTTTTTTTGCATTTAGTACAATGTCTGTATGTCAGGGACTGTTCTAGGTGTTGTAGATAAAACAGTAGATGTGATCTCATGGAGCTTACATTCTAAATAGGAAAGGCAAAACAAAAGCAAAGTATATATTATGTTACATAGTAGTAAGTGTTATAGAGAAAAATGAAGGAATGAAGAGAGTGGGAAGTCCTGGGGCAGGGATGAATGTTGCTGTTTTTAAATAGATTGGTCAACAAAGACCTCAGAGGAGTGATTGAGTTAATTGAATAGATAAAGGAAGAGTGCAAAAGCCCTGAGGTAGCTTATATAAAATACTGAAAGGAGCCTACTACATGTAGAGTGCAGTGAGAGGAAGTAGTAAGAGGTAGAAGAGGGAGATAAGCAAGGACTAGAAGATCACGTAGGGTTCTGGCTTTAACTAAAATGAGAAGCCGTTGGAGATTTTTCAAGTGGAGGAGTGAGATGGTTTAACATTTTAAGAGAATCAACCTAACTTCAGTAGGAATGGTATAGAATAGTTCAGAGACAGTTGTGATAATCTAGGCAAGAAATAATGGTGGCTTGGGCAAGGGTGGTAGCAGTGAAAGTGGTGAGAATTAGTCAAATTCTGGACGTTTTGAGGGTAGAGCCAAAGAGATTTGCTGCTGTATTGGGTGTGGGGTGTGAGAGACAGACTTAGAGTCAAATGTGACTCTAAGATTTTTCACCTAAGCATCTGGAATGATGCTATTGACTGAGACATGAAAATTATAAGATGGAATTGTAAGTTTTGAATGTGGAATCAGGAGCTTAGTTTTAAACTTACGATGTTTATGATGCCAATTAGTCATTCAGATAGAGACATAGAGTAAGCAATTGGATATCTGGATTGAGAGTCAAGGAATAAATTTGGGAGTCATCAACATATTAATGGTGTATTTAAAACCATTGAAATTATCAAGGGAGTAAGTTGAAGTAGAGATAAGGCAGAGTCCGAGAGCTGAGGCTTTGGTTACTGTAGTGTTAAGGAAAAAAAATGTAGAGGAGAAGAAGGGAAACCAGCAAAAGGGAGAGTTAAGGAGCAGCAGTGAGGTGGGAGGAAAATACAGTATCTTAAAAGACAAGCAAAGAAAGTGTTCAAAGGAGGAGGGGATAAATCTTGCCATATATTGCTGAAAGGTCAATTAAGATGAAGACTAAATGTGCCTCTTGATTCAGCAAAGTGGAAGTAACTGATGTCTTTAACCAAGTATGTTTTATCTAGTTATATAAATAGCCTTGTATATAATGTTGAGTCACTGAGAATTCTATAGTAGTAGTATGCCAATTGCTGTTATTGATGTACTACTGTACCATATGAGTTGGGTCCGACTCGATGGCACATAACAACAACAACAACAAGAATCATAAACCAAGCTTTAAATATGCTGACTTTCTCTGGGTTTTGTAATGTATCCGCTACTCTGGAAGTACAGAATTAGTTCACTTGTATCTTCAGTTAAAAGAAAAGCAAAAGCTTTTTTTTTTGAATGATACTCTGAAGTAATATAATTTGATTTAGGGATTATCTTGGGTTTGATTAATCTTTTGTTGCTTTTTGTAACAGAATATGAAGAGAGTGGATTGTTGGAAACAGATGAGGTTTGTAAATTGAGTTTTCTTTAGTTAATTTTTAATGGGTGAACTTGGGGATTAGTATTTTTACTAATGTTTTGATGTTTCAAGGAAATTTTTCTTCGTATGTTTATTGCATTGATTATAATGCATATGATGATATCTTAAGAGTTTTAAGTTAAATCTGTTTTTAAGAAGAAAACAGAATGTAGTATGGGAAAAATAAATTTTTAGACTGTTGTATTCATACTAATTTTAATGTTCTAAATTTTTCTCCATTACATGCCAGGCTACCCTCGACACAAGGAAAATAGTAGAAGCTTGTAAAACTAAAACTGATGTTGTAGGTGAAGATGCTATTTTGCAAACCAGAACTTATGACCTTTATATCACTTATGACAAATATTACCAGACACCACGACTATGGCTGTTTGGCTATGATGAGGTAAAAATAAAAGAATATATTTGTTAATGTAAATGTTCTAAATCATTTAATTTAATTCTTTATTATATATGTGACTGTATATATATGACTATATTTTAGAAATCTTGTTTTTTTCCATTTTATGATGAATATCAAACTCAATTCTTATCTTGAAACTAAATTACTCATTATGATAATAATAATAATAATATTTGAAAGAAACAATCTATTGCATATTTATTCCTTGGCCTCTGATTACATCCCTTCAAAATGTGAGGAAGATTGAACCTGGATTCTTGTATGAAATTTTGTTTGTGATTGTATTTATTGTACATACAGGCTTTTACATGTGATCATGTTGTATATGTTTGTGGGTTTGTTTGTTTTTTTGCCCCCTTGAGACATAAAACCTTTTTCCTTTATCTGTTTTTTAACTGAATAAAGAATAGTTAAAATAAAAATAACTTGTTGAACTTGTATCCTTACGACTTTAAATGGGAAACAAAACAAAACAAAATAGGCCTAGAAGATGAGTTACAAAATTATAAAATGTTTTGACAGCTGTGAACCTACTTTTTGTGGGATATTCATTGCATTAGGTGGTGCTTAATGTTACTTAGACTAGATATATAGGCTTGCTGATAGAAATGAATTATAAACTACCCCTCTCCAGTAATCTAGTAATTCTAAATAATATGTAATTCTAAATTGTAAGTAACAGGTGTAGGGGTGGAGAGAATAAAAAGAGAAAACATTGAGATTTTAGGCTTAACAGTAATTTCAAGGCACTTTTTATGCTTTCAGCAACGGCAGCCTTTAACAGTTGATCACATGTATGAAGACATCAGTCAGGATCATGTGAAGAAAACAGTGACCATTGAAAATCACCCTCACCTCCCACCACCTCCTATGTGTTCAGTTCACCCATGCAGGTCTGTATATATTTTGTGTGTATTTCTGTGTGTGTACAGGATTATTATTTGGGAATTTACAAAAGTAATGCCATAACAGAGAAGATTTATAACTTCATATAAGCAAATAAAATTCCCTTTTATCTTCTTTAGAAATGCTCTTACGCTTAGTTAAATATATAAGGAAAAGAGGGGCAAAACCTCACTAAATTATTTTAAATTTAATATATTAAGAATGTATTTATTTATAGAAGTATTGTGATTATACCCCTATTTTCCAAGAATAGATTGAAAAATCCTGTTTCAGATTAAAAAAATACTAATCACTGAGATGTGATTTGCTCTAACATGAATCTATATATTTCTGTGAATATAGAGCACAAAGTTGACCTTACACTTGTTCTGAGTGACTTCCTTAACTCCTTTTATTGGGGGTTGTAGCATGAAGATTTCTGCATTCCTTTATTCTTCAGTTAGAAGGCTTAAAGCCTTATGAGCAAATTAAGTATATTTTGTAATTGTCATTTCATCTAAAAGTCTTATTACTTATGTCATAGACAATATCTCAAATCTTTGTTGAGGGAAACATAGGAAAAAGAGGATAGAAGTAGGGAATAAGGCATTTGACTGCTAACCACAAGGCTGGCAGTTCAAACCCACCAGCCACTCCTCAGAAGGAAGGTTAGGCAATCTATTTGCATAGTGATACCGCCTTGAAAACCCAAGGAGGGGTTGATATGAGTTGACTCCAACGCGACAACAGTGAGTTTGGTTTTGGTTTTTGGTTATATCCCACTCCTGTTCTATTTCTTAGTCCTTAACCCTCAACCTGAGACAAAAAAAATTGCCTAAGTTCAAAGCTCAGGATAGTTAACAAAGTTCTGTATGTGCATTAGCTCTTGCTTTGTTTGGAATTGCATATGGCAGTGGAGATTTTCTTTTTGCCAGTATGTTTTCAGAGGAGTGCTGGTAGTGTAGTGCCAAACGCACTTGACTGCTAACCAGAAGCCTGGAGGTTCAAACCCACCAGCCACTGCTTGGAAGGAAGGTTGGGCAGTCTACTTCCATAGTGATACTGCTTCAGAAACTCAAGGAGGGGTCGCTATGAGTCGGGTCCAACTCAACAGCACACAACAACAACAGTATGTTTTCAGAGGCCAAATAAGTGAGGCTGAGCCTGTATACATTATTTGCTCAGAACTTCCTTTTTAAAAATGATGTTACAGTCTAATTTCTTTAGTTAGTTATTTTTAATATAACTTTCACAAATCTTTGAAAAGTACTGATAACATACTGGAAACATATTTTCAGATAAGAGCTCTTGATAGTCCATTGGCCAGTTACATGAGACATTCAGTGGCCTCTCCCACCTCCTTTCCCATTTAAAAAAAAAAAAAAAAAACTTTACTATTCTCTTCTCCTTGTCTGTAATCTGTTTATTTCCAAACTTTACCTTCCAAAAACCAAACTCACTGCCATCGAGTCGACACTGACTCATAGCAAACCCCTTTGGATTTCTGAGGGGGTATATCTTTATGGAAGTAGATTGCCTAGTCTTCCCTTCACGGAGTGGCTGGTAGGTTTGAACCACCAACCTTCTGGGCACTGTGCTTTAGGCACTGTGCCACCAGAACTCCTTAAACTTTACCTTATAGAATGATTAATTCGTTATTCCATTTGATTTTTGTCAAGAACTGTTCCTAACTATGAAACGTGATTCAACGTTCATTAGTTTTAGTTTTGAACTATCCAATACAATCTAAAAGCTTTTCTGTTGGTTCCTCTTATAGTTTGAGGTTTTAGAATTGTGCTTATCAAACTGAAGAAGGTCTCTTTCTGAGGTGTAAATTTTACTCAGAGTTGAAGAAAGAGGCAAGTAATTTAACTGCAATTAATTTTAAACATTTAAGCAGATTAACACTACATTATGGAATGAATGTAAATATGGCTGAAAGCCTTCAAATGAGACTTAATGGACATTTTAGCCTTTCCATGGGCCATCTCAGAGTCTGCTTTCAGATCCTCAAGTTTAATACATTCACTCTGAACTTCTAAGTTGATTGCCTCTATCATAAAGGTTATATTAATGAAAACTTGAGATGCATTATTTAAGCCTCTCTTATGTATGCAAGGCTTTTTATTTCTTTTATACCTTAACTTTTTCTTAGTTTACATGCCCAATTACTTTAGTGTTACTCTTTTCTATAGCACAGTTAGCCATGAAGAGATGTGTGCATAGGACAAAAACTTAAGATAAATACCTTTATATAAAGCAAAAACTTTATAAAGAGTTAGATAAATTTACTAGTACCCATTAGGGTACTGCTTGCCTCTCACCACTTAGCTTTTCTTTAAACCTCTTAGCTTTGTCTTCTCAGCTAAATATTTAAGCAGTCAAAATCTAAGACTTTTAGATATCTTGTTTGCTTTTTTGACCAGCTATTGCTATGCAACTTACTTGAACTTGCTTGGTCTGTGATTATTTGTTTCTCAGAGCAGACAGTCTTTTCCCAGCATTCATGCCCTGGCATGATTTCCTTTTTTTGGTTTTCTACTGCCATACCCTCTAGTGTCATAGGAAAGCTGGTTCATGCCATTGTGTCCATTGTGACTACCATAGCTTCTTAAAATTACCTCCTCCTCCAATAAAGCTGCCTATATGGCTCATTAATCTGACTTATTGAAGGGTCAAAAAAAAACCAACTCACTGCCGTCAAGTTGGATCTGAGTCATAGCAACCCCTCCTTGGGTTTCTGAGGCAATATCACTACGGAAGTAGATTGCCCAGTCTTCCTTCTGAGGAATGGCTGGTGGATTTGAACTGCCAGCCTTCTGGTTAGCAGTCAAATGCTTTAGGCACTATACCACCAGAGTAGGGAGGGTATATATTATAACTATTATAAGTTTTAAATGAACTCCTTTTTAAGATGGATTCATAATAGTAAGGTAGATTACTTCACAAACAAAAACTTGCTTTTCAAGCTATTTTGATTTAATTGGTCTACACTAATAAGATTTGTTCTTTTTAATTTTAGACATGCTGAAGTGATGAAGAAAATCATTGAAACTGTTGCAGAAGGAGGGGGAGAACTTGGTGTCCATATGTATCCTTACCTGTGTGTGTGTGTGTGTGAGAGAGAGAGAGAGAGAGAGAGAAAGAAAGAGACAGAGAGTGGTGGCAAATTGGCTCTTAGGATTGTTTTTTTTCCCTTTTGGGGTAATTTAATATAACCTTAATGAGAGTACCTATAATTTGTTCTGGCCTCTCATAACTGGAAGTCCTAGTAGGAGTCTTTAAATTATTTAGAAAATGTTATATTGTGGTAGTTAATGCCTTGATCATCATGAGCACATGTCCTTGTATACAAGTTTGTCCTGCCTTATAATAGAGCCTCAGGTTAATCTATACTTTTAGGCAACAATTTGCCAAATGCTTTTTGTCTTAGAAGTAGGAGTGGTTAAGTTGTGAATGGATTAACACAAAACCATTGCTCTTGATAGAAAAGAAACTCAATGGACTTAATTTATTAATGACAAGTGAGTAACCTACTAATTTAAAAGATAATACATGAGTATCTTTTCCTTATGTATATATTCCATTTAACATATTACCAAGTTTACTTTTCCCATGTAAAAGTAAAGTTGTATCAATCTGAGGTCTTTCTAAAGCAAAGAGTTCAACTTGAAGCAAGTAAGCTAATTGAAAAGTAATGCCCATGAAGCATATTTCAGGTATTTTTAACATACAGTATTTTAATTTTTCACCAGATAATATCACCTTTGTTGTTTCTTACTATGGTTCTTTTACTTAGTTTTCTGACCTTGATAAGAGGAATAAATTAAAGTTACTGTCCAAGTAAACTCTTAGATCCTTAAACACAATTAAAGTCAATTGCTTAGATGCCAGGCACTTTGAATTAGTTTGGCACTACGCTGGTATTTATACTTGATAATTCATGCTCCTCAGTGTTAGATGTAGACTGAATCCATGTGTGATTCATTGTAGATGTAGTCCTTGTGTGATTCATTGCTATGTTGGAGGTACAGTAACCTAAGCATCACTAATAAATTATATTCCTTTGTGAAGTATTCATCTAATTTGATATTAAACAAACCAAGAACTTAATGGTGCAAACAAGATTTTATCTGGAAATTTTATTATTTATAGTTTGCGCATTCATCTTTATGTTGGTTCCCCCAGTAAAAATTAAGCACAATGGAACATAGAAAAAAAATCAGTATTTATTAAAGACAGTCCCATGTAGCAGATTCATTGGCAAGTACATTTACTAACCTAGAATCAGTCCATTGTGGAGGATTTCCACTTTTTTTTTTCCTTCTTTTGCTTCAGTGCTTTTATACTCTTCATTCTGTCTCATGTTCTCTAATTTATACTCTAGCAATATCATAAGCAGTAAAGGGACCACTTTCCACTTACTTAAACATAGACGGCCTTGTTCTTTGTTTTACATTAAAATATTTGGGCCTACCTACGTTCAAACCCACCAGCCACTCCTCGAAGTAAGACTGGGCAACCTACTTCTGCAGAGATACTGCCTTGGAAACCCAAGGAGGAGTTTCTATGAGTCAGAATCGACTCGACGGCAGTGAATTTTGTTTTTTGTAAGGATCCCTGGTGGTTCAAGTGGTTAAGTGCTTGACTGCTAACTGAAACGTCGGTAGCTTAAACCTACCAGTTGGTCCACAGGAGAAAGATGGGGTAGTCTGCTCCTACCTTGGATTTATAGTCTTGGAAACCCTGTGGGGCAGTTCTACTCTGTCCTGTAGGGTTGCTGTGAGTTAGAAGTGACTTGACTTGGGTTTTTTGGATTATACGAACTTTAACTCATTAAGAAGTTTCAAACTCAAATATTAAATGACAGTAAATGGTCACACAGTCTTAAAGTTATAGATAGCCTCATTAAGTAGGCATGAACTTGTATGAGTGAATTTCTTTAATATACTTCCTGTAAGATTTTTATCTTAAAACCTTTCTATTCAGATGAAACTATTTTTTCTGAAAAGTTATTGCTTCATATAATTGATAAGTACATTGTTAAAACGTTGAATTATGTAAAACATTGAACTATTCAAAATCTCATTTTCCTTAGCTAAAGACTTTTAGGTATCTTCTAATTTTCTTGAAATTTGTACAAGCTGTCATTCCAACAATAGAATATGACTACACAAGACACTTCACAATGTAATGAAGAGCATAGAATCTATCCTAATTATTGATTCTGATTTTTAAAGACTTAATCCATAGATGTGACCATTGACCATATTCACCAATATACACAATTTCTCTAATAAAGGGGCTTATATGTTTATGCATTAAATAAAAAAAAAAAAGTGTTCCACTACCAGCCTTATTTGTTTAATAAAAAATGAGTGTAAAGAGACTGTTTTTCTTGCTTCTTATCAAAAGGATATAATAGAATTTTCCTAAATAACAGCTTTTTTAGTGAAGAACTATGTCATACAGAATGATGACACAATATTTTTGGTTCAAGTTTATGGAAGGTATTAAAAGTGTCATAGCCTCCTCGGAAGGAAGGTTGGGCAGTCTACTTCTGTAGTGATACACCTCAGAAACCCAAGGAGGGGTCGCTCTGAGTCGGGTCTGATTTGATGGCACCTAACAACAACACAACAACAGCTTAGTTGTTCTGCTGTAACATAAGTACCACAGTAAATGGCTTTCGAGATCAGAAATTTGCTTTCCCATAGTTCTAGGGAGTAAAAGTCAAAATCAGGGTCTCAGCCATGTGGATTCCTTCTTTGATCCTCTCTCTTAGTTTCTGGTGTCCCCAAGCAATCCATTAAGTTTCTTTGCTTGCAGGTGATCTTCACATGTCATCTGTAATTCCTGTGTATGCGAATCTGTGTGTCTATTCTGGCTTTTTAATTAAAACTAAGGTTTTGCTCTACCCTACACAGGTATGACCTGAACTGATTGATTACATTGTGGAAGTTGATTGCCTTATACTACATTGTGTATAAGGTAATTGTATTACATTAGATGGCACCCACAGATCTAAGGTTTAGGATTCCAACACATTTTGGGGGGCTACAATTCATTTCCTAACAGAACCACAACTAGAACTAGAAGAGAGTGTGTATAGTGTTTTCCCTTTTCTCTTCCTCTTAGTTCTCTCATTTTCCCTCTTACTCCAAATCACATGTCTGCTAGTAGTTAATATTTACAGAGCACTTGCTGTGTGCCAGGATATATGCTAAATATTACCATTTATCCTGATTGTTTTATTAAATTGATAACACTAAAAAAAATTATTAAGGATTCAGAAATATTTATCACATCTTGACTGCCTGATAGACTACTTCATAGTATGGTAGACCATTGGAACGCAAAGCTATCTCTTCATTGTATAACCCCAATTTGTTGATCTGGGTATAGGCATTCAGAAAGGCTGTGTGATACCCTGGTAAACACTGAGATCCAAGGAGTGGAACTCAGCTTTTTGACTCTTCTTTGTTTTATTTTCTCATTATATCCTTATATTGCCACTCATCCATTTTATGGAGTTCCCTCTGAAGGAACCTTGTTGTTGTTGTCAAGTGAGTTCCAACTCATAGCGACTCCTACATTCAACAGAACAAAACATTGTTCTGTCCTTCACCATCCTCACAGTCATTGCTGTGTTTGAGCTTATTGTTGTAGCACTGTGTCAGTCCATCTCATTGAGGGTCTTCCTCTTTTTGCTGACCCTCTACCAAGCATGATGTCCTTCTCCAGAGGCTAATCCCTTCTGATAACATGTCTGAAGTACTCTAGCTTAGTTTCATTCTTTTCTTTTCTTCATTCAAGAATAATCTTACCTCCAAAATCCCTTTTTTCCTCCTTTTCCAGTTTTAGTTTAATTCTTGTAAAGGAAATCTTCATAATACATATAATGACTTGGTGGTGGTAAGGTGGTGTTTGACATAGTATTTTATGGAGATACAAGGGTATACTTCATCTACTAATATACTTCAGATATTCTGTTTGCCAACGTAACCAACAAGCTATCTTTCGTAATTCAAATTAACACCAAACTGATTTTATTAGAAAATTATATTTTGAATATCTTTAATATAAATGATCTCCAATATTAGATAATACATTTTTAGGAGTTATGGTGGCATAGTTCCTAAGGCATTTGACTGCTCACCAGAAGGCTGGTGGTTCAAACCCACCAGCCACTCCTCAGAAGGAAGGTTGGGCAATCTAGTTCCATAGTGATATTGCCTCGGAAACCCAAGGAGGGGTTGCTGTGAGTTGGATCCGACTCAACAGCAGTATGTTAGTTCACTTCGGTTTGGTGGCGTAGTACCTAAAGCATTTGAGTGCTAACCAGAAGACTGGAGGTTCAAACTCACCAGCCACTACTCAGAAGAAAGATAAGGCAATCTACTTCCATAGATATACCACCTTGGAAACCCAAGGAGGGATCACTATGAGTCAGATCTGACTCCATGGCAGTGAGCTGAGTTTTTTAAGTGTTTTGTTGTTATGTGCGGTGGAGTCAAACCCGACTCATAGCGACCCCTCCTTGGGTTGCCGAGGCAGTATCACTACGGAAGTAGGATTGCCCAACCTTCCTTCCGAGGAGTGGCTGGTGGGTTTGAACCGCCAGCCTTCTGGTTAGCAGTCAAGTGCCTTAGCCACTATGCTACCAGAGCTCCCTTTTTTAAGCATTTGTTGTTGTTGTTGTTATGTGCCGTCGAGTCGGCCCCGACTCATAGCGACCCCTCCTTGGGTTTCCGAGGCAGTATCACTACGGAAGTAGGATTGCCCAACCTTCCTTCCGAGGAGTGGCTGGTGGGTTTGAACCGCCAGCCGTCTGGTTAGCAGGTAAGTGTCTTAGCCACTATGCTAAGCATAGACAGCCTTAATTTTTTTTTTTCCTGGTTGTCAGCAGTCATTCTCTTAGTCACCACTAGGTGGCATAAAGGACTTTGTTGTGCAAACCTCACCCCCCCCCCGCCACACCCCCCACCCCGACCACCAATTAAATCTTTACATGGATCCCAGTACAAAAAAACAAAAGTGGCTATGTTAATGGCATAAATGTATTTTTATGAGCTCAGATTTATAGTATGAGAACAATAAAGTTGTTTGTATAAACAATTACTGTTTTGATGAACCTAAAATTGAAATTCAGAGTAAGGATGACAGTTCTGCAAGCTTCACATCTAGTTTATTTTTTATTTTAGTTTCCTAGTATTTTAAAAGGAGCACTGGTAGCATAGTGCCTAAGGCACTTGACTGCTAACCAGAAGGCTGGCGGTTCAAATCCACCAGCCACTCCTCAGAAGGAAGGTTGGGCAATCTACTTCTGTAGTGATACCACTTCGGAAACCCAAGGAGTGCTCGCTATGAGTCAGGTCCAACTCAATGGCACATAACAACAACAAAATGGGAGCTGTGGTAGCATAGTGCCTAAGACATTTGACTGTTAACCAGAAGACTGGCAGTTCAAACCCGCCAGCCACTCCTCAGAAGGAAGGTTGGGAAGGAAGTTTGGGCTATCTACTTCCATAATGATACAGCCTCGGAAACCCAGGGGAGGGCTCAAGGGCACATAAGAACAACAACAATGGCAAATGGTCACAAGCATTTCTTCATGTGTTTGTTAGCTACCTGTATTCTTTTGATAAAGTGTTCTTGTTCTCTGCCCATTTTTTAATTGGACTGTCCTTTTGGTGTTAAGTTGTTGAAGTTTTCTATAAATTTTAGAGATTAACCCCTTGTCCAGTATGTTATTGCCAAAAAAATTTTCCCAATCTGTGAATTTTCTTTTTTACTCTTTATTGCTGAAATCTTGATGCTCATAAATGTCTAATTTTTAGCAAGTCCATGTCATCTATTTTGTCTTCTAGTGCTTGTGCATTTATAGTTACATTTGACAGTGTTCTTAGGCCCTGAATTAGGGCCCCTAAATTTCTCCTAGGAGCTCTGGTAGCATAGTGCCTTAGGCACTTGACTGCTAACCAGAAGGCTGGCGGTTCAAATCCACCAGCCACTCCTCGGAAGGAAGGTTGGACAATCTACTTCTGTAGTGATACTGCCTCGGCAATCCAAGGAGGGGTCGCTATGAGTCAAGGCCGACTCAATGGCACATAACAGCAACAAGAAGTTTTGCCTTAATTTTTTTTTTAATTTTATGATTTATGAGTTTTGGATTTACACTGAGATCTTTGATCTCACTTGAGTTCGTTTTTGTATATGGTGTGGGATAATGGGTCCTGTTTCATATTTCTGCAAATGGATATCCAGTTTGGCCAGCACCATTTATTAAATAGACTATTTCTTCCCCATTTAATGAGTTTTGGGCCTTTGTCAAGAGAGCAGCTGTCCACGGATAGATGGATTTACATCTGGGTTCTCAACTTTGTTCCATTGGTCTGTGTGTCTGTTGTAACAGTACCAGGCTGTTTTGATTACTGTAGCTGTATAGTGGAAGCTCTGATGGCATAGTGCCTAAGACATTTGATTGCTAACCAGAAGGCTGGTGGTTCAAACCCATCAGACATTCCTCCAAAGGAAGACTGGGCAATCTACTTCCATAGAGATACACTTCAGAAACCCAATGAGGGCTTGCTATGAGTCAGATTCAACTCAACAGTGAGTTTGGTTTGTTTTTTGAGGGAAGCTGTATAGTGAGTTTTGAGATTGGTGAGTATGAGGTCCTGTTTGGTTGCTCTTAGTGTAGTGCTTTATTTAGCCAGGCTCTCTTTTCTTTCCATACAAAATTTGTGATGAGTGTATCCATCTTTTTAAAGAAATGTGATGAACTCTGCATCAGGATTGCATTATACCTGTAGATCAGGTAGTATTACTGACATTTTCACAATGTTAAGTCTTGCTATCCATGAGCACTACATAGACTTCCATTCATGTAGATTTCTTTTGGTGTCTTGTAGTAGTGTTGTTGTTTTCTTTGTATAGCTCCTTTATGTTTCTGGTTAGATTTATTCCTAAGTACTTCATATTTTGAGTGGTTATTGTAAATTACATTGCTTTCTTGATGTTCTCTTTATTTGTGTAAAGGAATCCAACATCTTTTTTTTTTTTTTTGTATGTTGATCTTGTACACTGCCTCTTTACTGAAACTACCTAGTAATTTTCTTACCAAGTCTTTGGGATTTTCTAGGTAGAAGATCATATCATCTGCAAATAGAGATAGTTTTAGTACTACTTTGCTAATTTGGATGCCTTTTCTTTTCCTGTCTTGCCTTATTTCTCTGGCAAGGATTTCCAATACAATATTGAGTAGAAGTGGTAATAAAGGGTATCCTTATCTGGTACCCATTCATAAGAGAAATGTTTTTGATCTCTCTCCATAGAGAATAATGTTGGTTATTGGTTTGTATAAGCCAAAAAGAAATACTCACTGAT